GACTCTTGTGATGAGCCGATTGACAGATGATGGAGGCAGTTAGCTTCCTCCCATAATTGGGGCTTACCAGGGTTGTAAAAATCTAATATATATATATATATATATATATAAAGAAATTGTATGTGTAACAAATTTCAATGCTATCATAAGCATATACAGTTATATACTGGTGCATTACCAGACATAAGTAATATGGTTTGTCTCTAATATTACCCAGATATTGTCTGCTTCTGACAGTATTTGGGTCTTAATCAAAGGCCCAAGGTATTGTCGTGTATTTAAGCAATGTACATTGGCAGATTCATCACTTTCTCACTGATATTACCAGACAAGAGACCCTAAAGAGCCTGCAGATCCAGTATTTGTTTTGAACATTTATTAGATATCTATTAAATCAGATGTAATAAAGTTGCCCTATTTTCAGCCAGACCCAAGGGTAGTCCTCTCATCATTATTAGTACAGGAGGTTGCTCACTTTATTGGACAGATATATATTTAATGCTATTTAAGTTTAATAAAAATATGAACATGTTTATGATTTATATGCTATACTTCACTAGCTATCAAAGTTATCTAAAGCAAACATAATCTTACCAAACATTCAAGTAAACGAGCAGGACGTGCAATCACAATAAGTATTTTTCGGACAAGCTGCTTAATAAATGCCAGTACTCCACTTTCTGATCGTTCTTGGGCCTGTTAAATAGGTATTAAAATAGTCTTGATAGTAAACATGGACACAAAGAAACACTAATATGATAGATTAAATATAATGACTTAAATAAACTATATTATTTCAACATAAGCATCTCAACAATCTTGAACATTCAAGAAAACCAATATATTTGTAAGTGAGCAATTACTGCTAGGCATACATTACATAAATGTTAAATGATATTTACCATTTATCATTTGCTTGATTTCTATGGTATAGGAAATTACTATCTAGAAAGACAAACATCTTAGTCCAAATTAACAATAAAAGCTAGAGAAGAAATTATAGAAACAGACATAATGTGAAAGGAGCCCTATTGATTGATCAATTAGGGCAGTTTTACCACAATATGTGACCCCAGAAAGTTTGGATGTGGCCCCCACAAAATACCTTTAAATTTAGAAAAGTAACAATAAATGAATGGTCTAAGTGTGATAAATGGGGAAATAAATTACATATTTTGGACTGACTTGTAAAAGTAGACTTCCAGAAGTCTAATAACCCCAACCCCAACCATATGTTTTTTTCCTAGGTGAAATATTGTTACATGCCTTTGTTCGTATCTCAAGAAGACACTTTTTTGCTTCACTTCAAAGCAGTTGTAGGATAAAGTTTAAATCTCATACACTACTTACAGTTTACAATGGTTGACAATTATTTGTAATTCAATTAATTCAATTTGTGGAATTGAATTAAACAGATTACAAGTCACTCCTAGACATTTGGTTTTAAAACATTTGTATAGTTCAATGTGGTAGTCAACCTGGTCCCTACCGCCCACTAGTGGGCGTTCCAGCTTTCATGGTGGGCGGTAGGGGGTTTCATCCGATGCTGAAGCACTTTCCTTTTTTTAAAAAATTTAATTGACTTTTAAAAAAATGTCATAGCATTATTTAAAAACATTTTCCTTAGGTTTTCATAAAATCACCATTACTGTGGAACCAGTGGGTGGTTAGAA